CCCTCGTGCAGGGGAACATTACAACGATAAATTTCAGCATCAGGACAGAGAAGGTGGGTGGGTTGAGTAATGGCAGGAAGCTGTATAGAGATAGCCTTCTGCTATTGTGATAAACACTATGATCAAAAGCAACTTGGGAAGGAGAGGGTTTATTTTATCTTAAGTTTATAATTCATCATGAAAGACAGCCATGGCAGGAACTGAAACAAGAACCATGAAGGAATGCTTCTTACTGGCTTGCTCCCCATGGTTTGCTCAGTTTGCTTTCTTACAAAACTTGGGATTGCCTGCCCAGGGCTCATACCACCCACAGTGTGCTGGACTCTCCCCAGTCAATCATTAATAAAGAAAATGCTTGTGCTTGCCTACCGACTAATCTGATGGATAGGTCTTCACAATTAAGGTTCCCTCTTCCAAGCTGACCTTCAAGTTGACAAAAGACTAATTGACACAGAGACTGAAATAGAGACACATGTCAAGGAAAAGAGACTGGGGAAATGAATTGTTCTGGGACAGTGAAAGGACATGGAAAGATAGTTTAAAGGGGCAGGTCTAGAATACCTTTTGCTCTTGGGTTTTATGGGCAGTGCAGAACCCAGAGGTTGGTTGGTTCCTTAGTCATCTACTGTTGCTATAGAGGACCACAGTTGATTGCTACTTGTTTCTCAGGTCTGAAGTTTGGGAAATGCAGTATCAGTGAGCATCTTCTTGCTTTGCCACTATGTGGTAGAGGGTGTCACTTAGCAGACTGGAATGCAGGAGAGAAACCTGCTTAGTCATCTCTTCCCTGTTCTTACCAAGCCACCAATCTCATCTGGATGTCTCCAAACTAACTAGGTCATCAAACCTAATTATTTCCCAAATATCACCAACACAACAATAGTGTGCTAGAGGGGGTACTGTGAGCAAGCGGGGAAGGGATGTAAAGCACATTCAAGTCATAGCAATGGGTAAGAAAGTACCAAGTGTGTTGAAGCAATGTGTTTCCTCCTACTTGTTCTCCACCTATGTATGGATCACAGAGCCACTTGTGGAAATAAACACCTTCCCGAGGAAAGCTCCCCATCCTTCAGTCAAGAGCCCTGGGTCACTGCTTGCTTCCAGGGAGTTCTTCTCCATCTCCTTCCTTTTCCCTTCCATCCTCTTCTCGTTCAGCTAAATGCCAATTTAAGTGTGAACTCTGTCTGACCCCCTATCTGTTCAGAAAAGTAAATATTTACTGAATTGCTATGTTATACTGAGGCTCTCCCTGCCTCTGCTCTCCCTGGGGATGTCTGAGTTGTTCTTAGGAACTTGCATGCAGCTACTGTCTTTGTCTTGAAGCTATCGTACTCAGCCAGGAGAGAGACAGATGGAAGTATTACACCCATTCGTTTTGCAGCCTTAGTAGCCGATGGGTCTTTGACATGTCCCTTTTTCAATTGTAACTGACATCTAGTTAAAGCCTTCTCAATTATGCCTTTTAAAACCTAGTTTCTGACATTAATAGTTAATATATACTGAGCATTAATTGTGTTCCAGGGGCATATATTGACACATTTAATCCCAGAACAGGCAAAGGAAACTTTGCAGATAAGGAAACTGAACCACAGACAGGTTGAGTAGCTTGTCTAAGGTCACCCAGCTGATCAGTTCAGGGACACATACTTTGAACACAGACTGACTACTACACATAAAAGGACATATTTCAGGATTGCCTCTAATTTAATTTATTCAACTAAATTAGTTGTTACATATTCAACTACAGTGAATCACCAAAAGCTTGTTAGGGTTAGAAGGAAGGAAGTATATGCCAATCAAATCTCTGTTTGTTTATTTACTCAGTGACCATCTGTGAACACGTGAAAGCCAGGCCTGCTTTCAAAGGGAGTAGACGCAAAACCAGTATCTAGTTATCTGTGAACAGGGCAGTGTGTCCAACAGGGTAGGGAGAGAGCACCTTGCACAAGGAAGTGAAAGTGATTCTTGGGATGCAACAAGATGGTCCAGACCTACAAGTTTATTTTGGCCAAGAAGGTGGAATTGGTCCTAGTGGCTAGGCAGGGATGCAAAGAGGGCACAGGCAGAGCAGTTGCATGATCTGGGCTTCGGAAATTCACCTGGCACAGCCCAAAAGGAACAAAAGCATCCAACAAACAATCCAAACATCCATGTGCCAATTCATTTCTCTGGGTCAGAACTTGGGTTCTAGCAGAGCTGTGTGACCTTGGGCAAGAGAGTCACCCTCCTCAACTGAAATTTGCATAGTCCCGTAACCCACATGGCAGGATTGGCAAGGAGATCTGACATGTTATTACTTATGATAGCCGCTAAAGGGAGTACCCAATTAATATTGGCTTCTACTACAATTATATTTGCTACTGTTGGTGCTAATTTGGTATAATTATGAGGTGTGTTAGCCATGTGTGTTCATGATGGCTAACCTTTATTGTGTGCTTATTCGTATCAGCTGCATTTTATCACTCTGGGGCTGGAAAAGCCACAAGGGACAGATGCAGTAGTTGCTGTAAATCTTCACCCAAATTAAACCAAAACAGTGCTATGGGTCAAAAACCATTTTGGGGTCATAATATCAATCTAAAGAGTTATAATCAACCTCTCTTTAAAAATTAGAAAGATTGAGGAGCTGGAGATATGGCTCACCAGTTAAAAGTGCTTGTTCCTCTTTCAGAGGGCCCGTATCTAGTGGCTCACAGCCACCTATAACTCCAGCCCTGAGGAAATCGGACCTCCACAAGTACACACACACACACACACACACACGATAAAAAGAAATCAATTAAAAAATACATTAGATTAACATGGGAACTATGAGCAAGCGTTAGTTGCTATGAAGTAATTTCTGTAGATTTTCTGTTCCCGGTAGCAAACTCCATAAATACTCTCACTTACCAATGTATATATGGGTTGTATTGCAAGATAGTTTTTAAACTGAAGATTATAGCGAAGAAAATTTAAAGACCTTGGGATAGAAGGTGTGAATTGTCTCTGGTCTTCCTTGTGGCTTTGCTTCTTGAACCCCCTGAACACGGTCTTGGCAGCCAGTATTGGGAGGCTGAACATCAAGACAGCAGAATTCAAGGCCTGGAGATATCACAGATCAGACTTCTAAAAACCCCATGTGGGGATCCAATGCCATCTCCTGGCTTCTGTGGGCACCAGCCACACACATGGTACATAAAACATTCATCCACATAAAATAAAAATAGAATAGATAATTGTTTTGAAGATAGCAGAATTCAGAACCTAGGTTTGGGCCTTGACCATGTGACTTGATTCTTGTGTGACCTAGGTCAATCCACTGCCCAATTATCAAGCATAGTTTGAGAACCAAGACTCCAAGAAATCCACTCCATTTACCTGCATCTAGATGCAACTTTGGTCTCTCTCGTAATTCCAGCTGTTCTACTACTGACTCATGACATGTGCCAAGGTGGACCGAGAGGCTCAGGGTCCACGAACACAGTCCCACTGTAGCGCTCCACGGATTTTATACAATACCAGTAAAATTACAAATATCTGTGCTTTGAACAATGAGGGAAAATTCTGGGGAAGTCTATAGTGAGCACTCAGGATCCTTAATATATCCAAAGTGGACATATAAAAATACACCGAGTACTAACTCCACATCATCTCCTTGAAAAGTGATTGTGATAGCCTCCTTAGGACATAGGGTTGACCTGTGTGGGCCTACAGGGCTCTTTCAGAAAGTAGACAAAATCTCGTACTGGAGTAGAGCTAAGAGCTACCCTGAAGAAAGCCTGTGAGGTCTTAGGAGGGAAGAGCTGAAGGGTTGATACAGATGTCAATGACCACAGGCTACTTGCTAATCCTCGGACCAAATCTGGACTACCGCTGGGTTTTCTTTGGCCTGCAACATACTTTGAAATTAAAATTAAAAACAAATCTTAAAATTACATATTGGATTTCAAAATTTAAATGCCTAGCTTGTCTTAAAATTTCAGAAGGCAGCCCCTAAACCCCACCCACCAACTGCATCGTGGGCAGGCACTGAGACTTCGGGTGAGTTCCATTTACCAGAGAGCTCCTATTTGGCTACTTCTTTAGCAAAACAGCAAAAACAAGAATTTTTTTGTACTTCTGTGTTGCTCTGACAAATGGAACAAGGGGAAGCCAGAATGAAGTGCTTAGAGGCTTCTAGAAAAACAAACCATCTATGAACGTCCTATTGTTGATCAGTTGAATGATATACCACTTTCCTCAGACTGAATTCCTGACCCTTTCAGAAGTGGGGAGAGGTTGTGCTTGCGCCCCAATGCTAAAGAAAGACTCTGGAAGGAGAATGTAGATGCCGTTAAGGGAAACACTCTCAGGCTGTCAGTCTAGAGCAATAAAGACCCCGCTTTTCTGACCTAGGCGAGATTGAACTCAATGCAGGGTTAATGTGTAGGCAGAATGGCAAGACACAGAGAAGACAGATAACAACAAATGCTGGTGAGAATACAGACAAGAAGAAACCCTGATACACTGTCATTGGGAATGTAAAGTCAGCCACTATTTATATCAATATGGAGATTGTTACTGAATACAGTAATAATGCCTACACACCTACTGTGATCTAGTGAGATAATTGAAGATATGTTTACTTCCTGGCCTGGATATAGTCAATTATTTCTCAGATTCCCAAAGAGCCCTTAAGTTCAGGGTTAGGCCCTCTTTCAGCTGATAGGATGGGAATTAGCAGGGATGCAGCTCCTACCTCCAGCCATTACTAGGTACCAGTGTAGTCTCTGGGGATCATTGGTCCCCAGCCCTAGGGGAGAATATGAGGCATCCTCAGATAGGCCCAGTAACAGAAGGAGGATTGTTTATGAGAAGCACCAAGTGCCAGTACCCTAAGCTGCTGATTGTCACTTAGTGATGAAGCCTGGTTAATGCGTCACTTTGATCCAAGAGTATGTTGAATTCAGGATAGACCCTGGCATTGTCTCCCCAGCCCAAATTGGGGCTCAGCCTTTCTTTGGTTTTCCCTACTGCAGACCACTCAGCCCTGAGTGCGGCAAGGGCCCAATTCGTGGATGTGGAAGAGCGTGAGTCAGAGGCCATGGACGTGAAGGAGAGGAAGCCCTATCGCTCGCTGACCAGACGACGAGATGCTGAGCGCCGCTACACCAGCTCTTCGGCAGACAGCGAGGAGGGCAAGGGCCCACAGAAGTCCTACAGCTCCAGTGAGACCCTGAAGGCATACGACCAAGATGCTCGCCTAGCTTACGGCAGCCGCGTCAAGGACATGGTACCACAGGAGGCCGAGGAGTTCTGCCGCACAGGTGAGTGCACACCAAAATGTGGACTGAACACAAATGTGTACAGGTGTTTGCCTAGGTGAAAATGCAGGTGAGCTGGTCAGGGAGAAAGTGCCTCTAGAAAAATCCAAGTTCCTACTGCTTTGGCCCCTGGATCTGGTAAGGGCCTGCCTTGTAGTTCATTGCTGGACAGACACGTCCTAGCTCTGAACTTTACTCTCCTGTGTTAGACGGTCAAGAGCAGTCTCCCTATCACAGGGACTGGAGAGGGAGGCCTCAGTCAGATGACACCTTTAAGCTGTAAGCATGATAATAGAAGTAAGTGCTAAACATATGCTAGTGCCTAGTTTGGGGGTTTAGTGCATATCTTAGCACTTTCCTTGTGTCAAGCTGCGTGACCTTGAGATAAAGTCGCTTTGAAGGTTAGACTATAACACTTAGCGATTCGGGAGATCTCCTGGTGTCAAAGCCTCCTTCCTCACTTCTTCCTGACTGTCCTCAACAAAGTCTAACAATCCCTTCCCAGACTACCTTTCAGCCAAACCCTCTTCTCCTTTCCCTCTGCCATTGCATAGTCCTGGATATGGTTATATGTTCTACAAGATTGACCTCAACGGCCATCCAACCTAGAACCGTCCATTCAGGCCTTTCTCTTTCATAAGCCACAGTGACGCCTGAAGGTGACTCCATGCCCTGTCTCCAGGCTCCTTAACCTGACACTAGAAGACCTTCCTCAGTTTCCCCCTTGTCTTCCTAGAGTTTTTTGTCTCTTGCTTCTTTCCCACCTCTCCACAGCCCACCACCATCCATGGCCTAGCCCAGCTAAACCATTGCTGCATCCCAGAGGGATGATCACTTCTGCTGTGGTACCTCCAAGGTGCCTGTTGTTCTGCTTCAAGGCCTCTGTGAAGCGTGGCAGGTGACCATATTCCCTCCCAATGGGAGCAGCCCACTGGAATTCTGCCGTGTGCTTCTCCCCTCCACAGACAGCATCAGCCACACCAGAGGCTATGTAATTTAGATTATGTTTTAGCAATGCTGTTAAATCCTCACAACAGTTCCAGATCGAATCATCTGGGATTGAATCAGCCAAGGTCAAACAAGAAGAGCAGGCATACACACACACACACTTATACACACTTATACACACACACATACACACGCTCACACACATATGCGCATACACATGCTCTCACACATGCACACACACATATATATACACTTGCACATACTCACACACTCACAAATATGTACACACACACATGCTCACACACATATGCCCACACATTCTCATACACATGCACTCACATTCGGACTCGGGCACACGCGCACACACACACACACACACACACACACACAGAACCACCTATGGCTTCATTTCCTCTCCCTCCCACAGGCCTGGATCCACATGAACGCTGTCCCACCAGCAAGGCTGCCTCTCAGGTTTGAAAAATGACAGCTCCACAGCCCCTCCCACAGCCCCTCCCACAGCCCCTCCCACAGCCCCTCCCACAGCCCCTCCCACAGCCAGTCCCCAGCTTGTGGTTAAGAGCTCAAGCTCTGGGCTCAGACAGATCTGGATTTGAATTCCGGCTCTGCAGCTGTTACAGCCCTAGGCATCCTCACCTGTGCAGAGGGATAATGTCACCTAATGGTAGGGTGCTCTCGAGGATTAGTGAGGACTGTAAACAATATTCTGGCCACCAGAGCCTGGCATGTAACTGATGCTTTATAAATGCTGCCTACTGCTTGTTGTCACCTCTGAGCCCCAGTGAAGGGAAGAGACAAGATCCCTCCCAAGCTTTCCTCTAACTCTGCCCAGCTTATGCTTGACAGAGAGCTCAGTGAGCCTGTGGCTCAGATGCAAGCGTAGCATGCCAGGCTTAGAAAAGGAGCCCCTCTCGTTTTTGTGAGGAACAAATGATCATCCTCAAGCATGCGCAGTTTGCAAACTGCCATCTGGGATCTTAGAGTTAGATGCTGAAGGAGGTGGAATGGCAACCTGTGTTTTAGGCTCCTCAGGAAAGAGGTCAAAGGTCATAAAACAGAACACATGATGAAAAAAATCTCCTACCTTACCAGTTGTCTCACCGGGATCCCTGAACTCTAGGAGTTGGGTCTTCCCTTGCATTCCTTCTGTCCCTGGACACCTCAGCTCACTGGTATCGATGCCAATTCTGTCTGCTTTAAAGGGAATGGAGGGCAAGCCATATGGAAATCAGTGTGGCCTGGGCCGTTTATGGCAAATAAATTTGAGTTTTCACCTAGCATAGCAGTCATTCTTTATAGCACGAGTAGCCTCTCTTGAGAGGATTAGCTCAGTAAAGTGCAGCTATGGGCTGGGCAGGGAGCAGAACAGGGCTAGAGCGTACACGTGCACAGGAGCCAGGACCTGGATTGTGCAGAGTCCTACAAAAGAGACAGGGAAACTGGGGCTCTGACATACACTTTGGTTTTTTGTTTTTGTTTTTGTTTTTCTTAGAAGGAAAAAAACATAGAAGAGCCAAGTAGTGTATGGCACAAAGGGGTGAGATTCAACGTATGGAACATCTGGTCTGGCTCACATCCCAGCCAATCAGAACATTTGCCTGACCATCGATCGAAGGCCAGAGGTCCCTGAGGCACAGGGCCTGCTGATGTGAAACTATTTGTCTGGCAGCTGGATCCAGGGTGGATAATGGAGAGGCCTGGAAGAGAAGTAGCCAGGACGGAGGATCGAAGGCACTAAGGGCCTGAACACATTATTCATCCACCAGTATGGAAAGGTTTCATGACTTTAGCCTCAGATCATGGCTATGCTAGCTTCTGAACTCTCTCCCATGCCAGGCTCCACTGGTCTAGCCAGAAAGGAATTCCTGGTTCCAGGAACCTAGGTAGGCCTCATCCAAGAAGTTCTGTCCTGTTCTAGACTTGCTGACACGTCCCATCTGCAAGAAGAGACCAGAAACCTTCAATGCAATTTAACAGACATGTTACACCATGTGCCTTGAAGATACTGTATGTGGCTAGTGACACAGAAATTTAGAGATAAGCAAAACATAGTATCAGCCTGTGTAGATGCCACCTTCGGCAGAAGTGGCAGGCATCTCTCAGGGGGAACTGGGTTCAGGAGACAGTGAACTATGAACAAGTATAGGTAGATAATGGGGAGCTTTCACAAAGGAAGGCAGTTTGAATCAGCTTTTATGCATAGCACTTGGCTAGAGAAGGAGAGGTGAAAAGAGCCCTACAGGCAGAGGAAGTGGCTGGAACCAGTACAGTGAGTGCAGCTGTGAATGCAGGGAAGAGGGGCTTCTGGTTTGGAAAACTTTCCCAGCATCTTCCCTATGATTATCTTGTTTCCTCTCAGGCACTAATTTCACTCTCCGTGAACTGGGACTAGGAGAGATGACGCCCCCTCATGGGACCCTCTACAGAACAGACATCGGCCTCCCACACTGTGGCTATTCCATGGGGGCCAGCTCTGATGCAGACCTGGAAGCAGATACTGTACTGTCCCCTGAACACCCAGTGCGCCTGTGGGGCCGGAGTACTCGGTCAGGGCGCAGTTCCTGCCTGTCCAGCCGGGCCAATTCCAATCTCACACTCACGGACACAGAGCATGAGAACACAGAAACCGGTGAGTGGCTCACCTGGCCCGTTGGTTACCCGGGTTACCAGGGCATGGTTTTAATTATAATATTGATTTCCTGCTCCATCACTGGAGCTCTGGTGCAGCTGATGAAAAATTGCTTTGCCCTCAGTGAGCAAAAGTCAGAGCCTTTTGCAATGTCACATGAAGTACCCACCCACCAGTGACATGTCAGAGAGGGGTCACTGCACTTTCAGTCCAGACTGGGGCAGGGCTAAAGGGCTGGGTTATTACTTACAAGGTAAGGGAGCAGAGGGCTGCGGATGTTGGTAGCCATTACCCTGTAGAGCTGATTCCCTGTGGAGTCCAGAGGGACCCGCTCTGCTCTGAGACTCTCTAGCATCCAGTTGTTCGGCAGTCCTAGGCAATCTTCTGTCTTATTCCATTGGCTTCCGTTGCTCAGAAGAAGGGTTATGGACCAAGACTGTCAAACAGGAACAACTTGACATTTGGGGTGTGGGGGAGATAGAGGTCAAAGGCTCCAGAGTTCCAGCTAGGAGGGAAAAGTTTATATGATTGTATGTGTGAGGTGTCCAGGAACCCAAAGTCTTGGAGTCAGGAAATGTGTGGCATAAAACATACCCCAAAATCACAATGTGGTTTGCCCCTCCAGGTCAGCCCCATGGTGGGGGCCACTGTGGACCAATTCTGGGGCTTCAGAGAGACTGGCAGAGCCTAAAACAGCCCTACCTGGGGAGGCCTGTTTCTGAGAAGCTCAGCTGGGAATGTGTGTTCATTACTATGACAGGCAGTGCAACACGGGAGGTTGTTTTTTAAAAGTCAGAATGAGAAGAGCCAGCCGGGTGCCAGTGCCCCCTACTGGCTGCCAGCTCTCAATGCAAGAACCTGGATTCCCAGCCAGCATCTGGGTCAGGATGGGGGCTTAGCCCCTTTAACAAGACAGCTCCAGCTGAGCTACAGAAGATCAAAGCCCAGACTAGAGACCAGGCAGCTGACCAGGGTAGTCAGAACCTGGTAGAGGATTTCATCCCCTTAAAGAGCCAGCTGCAGTAGATTCCAGGTGTCTATTCTGCCTTCTTGGCCCTCAGAGTTCTTTGTAGGAGTTAAGAAGAGGCAGGGCCTAAGAACTAACTTAACAGTGTCACCCACCACCCCAACTCCAGGGAGAGTCCTGTGACCTCAGCTCCTGTGGATCTTCCCTTCCACAGTGGATAACTTGTACTCTTTCATCTGCCACCAAGGCCCAGGCTGAGCTAACAGGCCTGACTCTCCCTAACCCACTGTACACAGAAGCACTGCACAGGTTTAAACGGGGGGAGGGGGGAGTTAACTCATAGAAAATGAGGTCTGGTTGGAGGAACAGGAAGTATCTACTCCATCACTGGTCTAGGGTAGAGCATTGGTTGTGTTATTTTCTGGCTCTCACTCTCCCCACTTAAGGTTAAACTGAAGTCCGCACCTCTAATTTTCTGAGCTCTTAGATTAGGAGAGGGAAAGTGTTTTTGTGACATCACAGTGAGGGAACACTAAACAAGCTTAAAGCAGTTTTTCTTGTGCAGGACTTCTCAGAGCCTTTAAAACATTAACATGCGAGCCGATGGATAAATTACCAGCATTTGTAGGTAGCTCCCTTTAGAGTCTTTAACCACAGAAACCTTTATTCTCAGCTCATCAGGGAGGGGGCATCTGATAGCTGCCTTCTGTAATAGCTGAGCTGAATGATGTTCAAGCCTTGCAGACCTGGGATTCCAGCTATCTAACGTTGGTGGGCTGAAGAGTAAGGTACAAGGGAAAGTGGGCGGGCTGGAGAGAGTTAATCACGGTTGGTTCCTGATTATCAATGCCTAGGCACGGCCTAGCACTTCAGCCACAGGAGCTCATTTACTGCCTCTTCAACTCTTTGAAGTCGATTTTATTACGACCATTGCACAGAAACAGGGAACTGTAGCCACAAAAGCCAAGAAATCTGCCTGGCTCGCATGCTAGATGGAATTAGAACTCTAGCCCTTTTACCAATCTAAAATCTTAACTCTGTTAGCTTTAGTTACTTCTGTTGAATTTTCTGTGTAGCAAATGCTAGGATTGCCTGTTCTTCTGAGGGCTCCTTGCTGTGGTGATAAAGGGTCACTTTCTGTAAAGTCAAGACAGAGCAGGACACACATCGCCTACGGTATTGCATATCCCCGAGAGCTGAACTACAGCTGAATTAAGCCTCTGTTGGGGGATAATGACTTATGCAATGAATCTGCAGATAGTGGGGCCAGGAGGTTGGTTGCTGGTTCCCCAGCATGCCCCACCCCCGCTTTCCTTCTCCACTCAGACCTTAGAGCTCCACTTAGAGCTCTAAGACAGCTGTGCTCAGAGGAAATGGTCAGGCAAAGGAGTGTAAGGGGAGTCCAACAAAGGACCTCTGATTTCTGCATCTCTTTCAGGCCTGGACTCCCAAAGCAGACACCCTACAGGTCTCCATACTCTCTGGAGCCCTGACTCCATTGGGAACTTTCATTAATGACCGTTTTATACTCCAGCCTGAATAACGATGGCGATCATCGGAATGGCTTGCTATTATTCATTGATTAGGTTCATAGAATTGTTGCTTAGCTGAGGAAACTGAGGATCAGAGAAATAAAGGGCGCAGTACTGTGTGCCTGGCTGAATAGAGGCCAGGCCCTATCAAGAGAGTCTGTTCTCTCTTTCCCTTGCCATCTGACCTCTCACCATCCCATCTTCTGCCTCTCAACCCTTCTAGATCTGGCTCTCTCCATTTTCTCTGAGGAGAGCTTGGATCTCATCAGAGGAAGAAGGATTGCATATGCTGAATGTGTTAGCTATTCATCCCATCACAGTGAGGCCGCTACTCAGGAATAAGGGAAATCCGAGCTTGCCAAGCCCCCAGTGCACACATGGGATAGCCTCTAACCCCCATAACACTGCGATGGTATCCTCATCCTGCAGATGGGAAGACAAACACTCCACAAACAAAAGTCAACTAACATGAAGGCAGCTCTCAGCATGTTGGTAATGCTTTGTTTGGAATGTGGACCTCTCTGGTCCCTGTTTGCATCCCTCTGAGTCACAGGGAGTTTGGGGTCTCACCTTCGAGAACAGCAGTAGTGTGAATCCTACTTCTTAAGGGGGACCTCCTGATAAATGTAGCTGGCTGACCCATAAACCCCTGTGACCTCCAGCCACAGAAACGTGCATTCCCCTTTCACACCTGGCCTTGCATCAGTCAGTAGTAATGGTCAACCGTATTGACAGCAGCAGGGGCTTCCACTGAGGTCACGGGCTGCTGTGTGCAACTGTCATCAGTAATAACTTTTATAGGGTCCATTAAAGCCAGTTTCTGTCCCTGAAAGTTAATGTCAGCAACTTTTATGTCATTGTTTAATTGAAATAACTACAAAATTGACTGGTAATAGAAACATAAGCCTTTCTCCTCGAGACCGTCAGGGAGAGCTAGCCTTCAGGTGGGGGAGTCACCAAGCTGGGGGCATTGAAGGAGGATCCAGCATGATAGACACCCAGTAGGCATCCAATAAATGTTTTTCAGAACATAGGGGATGTGATCAGGGCTCCATTCCCAGCCCTGGGGCAGGATGGTAAAAATCTCTCTTGTGGATTCATGTGTCATTTGTTTTGCAGAGTGTCCCTGGCATGGCAGGCATTATTCTAGAATGTACAGAGCAGAGCAGCCATGGGAGAAGTGGGAGTTAGCCACCTGTGGTGCTCTACAATAGCAGAGGCATCCCAGATTGGAAAAATCACTGACTTCAGAGCACCTTCCCCCACCCAGCCCCTGAGACCCGGACCAAGTCCAGGAGCAGTGGCAAGCTTGTGATTCCAGTGCTGGGGTCATGGATCCCTGGGTCTCACTGGATATCCAGTATAGCCTAATTGGCGAGCCCAAGGCCAATGATAGACCCTATCTCAAAAAGAAAACTGTTAGGGGTGACAGTGCCGAAGGAACCATGCCCACAGCTGACCTCTGGTCTACACATGCTCATGCATACCCATAGATTCATGTGAACCCACAAATATGTATGCACATGAACATAGAAAATAAAAATAATTAAAATTAAAAACAAACTTCATGCCAGTTTTGAGGTGTTGCTAGCTCATCCACCACTGTGGAAGTCCCTGTTCTGTGGGTCTTGAATTCAAGCATCTGATCATGCCATTTGCTTAAAGGTCCTGGGGAAAGAGCTACTCACTTTCCCTGAGTACGCAGAGGTCAGGCTTCTTCCTTACTCAGGTCTGAACCTGGGTCTGGAGGCCTGGTATGATCTGATTGAGCAGGAAAGCCAAGTGTTCCCAGAGGAACCCACTGCAGAACTGTACCTGGAGGCATGAAGAGGGCTGGGTGGCCTCTCTGCTTTTATCCAAGGAGCCAACTTAGAAAACCACTTAGAAAATAAAATGAAAGAAATTCAGGTCTTTCCTCTGCATCCCCATTATTATACAGTCTGGCATCAAAGGGAAATGGTGAGTTAAGCTAATGAGGCATCAAGTCCACAGAACAGGCGGGCATCTCCAGGGCATCTCCAGGGCATGTGAAGAGAGCACTTTTTACCAAGTCTGCTTGGTTCACCCTCCACCCTCCCTGGCCTCAGACCCTTGAGATTCATTCTTACCAAGATCTAGAAGAAAATCGGTCAGGAAGTTTGAAATGTTCAAAGTGCTACAATTCAACCTACTGTCCAGAGACAGCATCTTCCAGAACAGGAGTTGAGCCAAATAACTGGCCTAGAAACTGAACAGTGCCCTCCTGCTTGGGGAGCCAGCCTACACTCTTTCCTGAACTTAGCCACATTTTCAGGGAGTTTGTCTCTTATTGGGCAGGTCACCATGTAACTCCTGAGCACACCATGAGCCCCCAAGTTCTCAAAGAGGCTGAAAAAAAAACTGGTTTATGTCAGAGAATTTAGTCATAATGCGTTAGAAGAGACTTTTTTTTCATTTTCTAGGCAAGCACACTGATCTGGATTTCAGTGGCATGTTGAAGGAAAAGCCACAGCCAAGACTTA